TTAATATACTATAGATAAATTATTAACTTAATAAAACTTTATTTATTTGGTAAGTTTGAAACTAACTCAAAACATAACTAATAATGAATATTTGATGGTATTTCAATATGCAAATGGAGTAAGTCTTCATAATTTCCTATCTTTAAATTATAAAGATCTTTATTGGTAAAGTAAATTAAACCAGCTTGTCGATATATCTCACAATCTAGCAAAGATTCATAGATCAGAATATGTTCATGGAGATTTTTATAGTGGCAATATATTGCAAAATCAATCTATTAATGGTAATATAATATCTTATATTGCAGATCTTGGATTATTTAGAAAGAAGGATGATTCTGATTTAGATGGTATTTACCTTATGTTGCGCCAGAAATATTAAATAAATATTCGTATATAACAACAGCTGACATTTATAGTTTTGGTATTATTATGAATAAGATATCTACGAGAAGACCTCCTCATTTTGATGCTGAATATTAGCTATAAAATATGTAATGGGTTAACGTTACATCCGTGCAAATTTAGTTATTTTATAACTAGTATAATAACTATTTATTGCACGTACAATCCCGTGCCAATAAGTAAATGAAAAAAGCACAGATTGTTACTTAAAACTAGAGTGTCCAGATTTATGCAATTTAAAATGCATTTTTATGCGATAAGTGCAAATAAAATTAGGGGAGACAAAGAGGATAAATCTATTTAATATTGGATTCTGATAATTAGCGAAAAACATTACAATGCCATATCGCAATTGTTGATTAACAAATGTACATATTATGTGCATTAGCATTATTATGCAGACATTAGTCGATATTTCATTTTGCACAAATATTGCACTAAGTACATCAAGATAGGTAAATTTATTACGCATTTTATGTGTCCAAAATGCAATTGCACAAATCTGGACACTACTTAAAACCCGTGCAATAATAAATAGTTATCAGGCAGGCACTGCATGATAACGGGTTTATCCGGCAGCTTATTATGATTTTCTGTCCAATAATTTTATTATTGAGCAGATACAAAATTTAAACTATTTTAACCTATTTTAAACTTTCGTTTCTGCCCAATAATAAAATTATTTGGCAGATAAATCATATTAAGCTGCCGGATAAATAAATGTATGGATGTTAATCCCTTCTGATAGACCAACTACATCTGATATTCATAAAGAATTACGGGATTGGCATTGGATATTATACAATGGTAGTGCACAAAACTATGATCAATTAGCAATATTAAAAGCATTTCAGTCTGCGGATGCAATTATTCCAACAATATCGACCGAATTGCCAATTTACCCCAAAGATAAACTTACAAGTAAACTGTATAACTTTAAAACCCTTTCTAAGCCAATTAAGTCTTTATCTGCGTAATTGTTAAGAGTTTATGGTGAATATTTACATGTTCCAAATCCTCTAATTTTTTTTAAGTCAAACAATTCACTATTATTTATTTCTTTTGAAATCATGCTTTTGATAATTTTATTAAAAAGATCGAAAAGAGTAAAAGAAGTATAAAGTTCAAATCATATAGTAATTGTTTTTTGACGTAATTTTTTACCAATATTATTATAGAAAATGTATAATAACATTAATTATTCTTGTAATTTAAGTTGCTAGAATTTTAATTTTTATGGTGAATATTCTATCCTTTAACATTAAATACTAGGAAAACAGGTACTATTAATGTTCGAAGCTAAAAATATATATTTAACTATTACACTTGCTAAGGGCTGACAAATATAATAACTTTATATTTGCAGCCCCTTAATTATCAAACAAAATTAAATTATTATTATTATTTTATATTTATTTATCATGATAAAATAAAAAAAAAAGCACATAAAGGCCTCTAATATGGGAACTACTGGTCTCCAAATTGATTTATTAAATTCATCCTCTTATGAATTTGCACGCTGAGAATTTAATTGATGTACCTAAATCACTCAACGAAAGATTAAAAAAAGTCAAAAATTTAATAGGTATATTAAGACGATTAACATCTTTTCATACATTTATTTATCATTACAATTTCTAAAATTTTAATTCTTCGTAACTTGTCTATTTCAATTTGTAATTTCCACTTTGGTGTGCATCATCGAAGGGCTAGTAAGAAAGAGAATCTTCGGGATTTATCATCATGCCTTTTAATTAGTTTCAATGAATAACCAATTTTCGTACAGTATCATCATGCCTTTTAATTAGTTTCAATGAACCTCTCAGATATAAGTTATTATAACCAATTTTCGTACAGTATCATCATAGAGGTTCGCGTAGACAGAAATATGTTGGCACCGGGGATACATCACTATTATCGGGGTTTATGTCTACGATACAACTAAATACGATCCCCAATAATTCCGCAGAGCCCGTTCTAGTTCTACCCAGCCCCTTCACTGCGAACCACTCAGGAAGCCAAAAACCGCTTGCGTCACCGTGGCCACTCTGTAGGCTGGGGTCTGAACTTAAGAGTAACGTATTTACAGAAAGTGAATATCTGATAAAAAAAACAAATGCAAATACACATGTAAGACTAAATACACTCCCTAGAAAACAGTTTCGAATGCTGTTCTTCTTTAGATCGTTGTTCACTTCGTTCGTTAAGAGCGTAAAGATTCCTTTATTGATTAATAATAAAAATTACGTGATTCTCAAGCTTTTCATTACTTGCAAATGAATAGTGATATATAGGACATTTTAATCTATTACCAGGTGTTTTGCTTCTTCGAAGAGGCATTTTCAGTGTTTAAAATTGTAAAGCCCAAAAATCAACTATTTAAAGAAAATTAGAGTGGATTATGTAATATATAAACATGAATAGTTATCGTTATCATTATTAATAGATCTGATATGCAACATATTGCAGATCTCCAACTTGTTTGCCAATTAAGGAACTTGGCATGCCATGGTAGCATGCCATGGTAGCATGCCACATTTGGCATGCCTATGCCATGCCAAATAAATTTATGCGTGCCAAGTTTCCTAGTATACTGTATATTAAGTACCCCCTGCTTATAATACCTTTCATGAAAAATACCTGAGTACTATTCATAGGTTCATGATCCAAAATATAAAGTTACATTATAATTTTGTCACAATTTAATTTATGTAAAACGTAAACAATTAATTTATGTAGTACATTCAACGTTATAAATTCAAAAAATTTTTATTGGCACAAAATTAAAATCCAGTTTAAAAAAATGGGTAAAAAAGTTATATATATTACAATACGCGCAGAGCGTCAATTATTTTTAACAAAATATGCACAAATTTAAGTTTATGTGCACTGCGCCTACTGCGCAATTCAATTTATATCTTTAAATAAGACCCAGATATTATTCTAATTATATATATAATATTTATATTGAATCTTTACTGAACTACTATTAGGTGAAGTTGTTGTAAATGTAGAAAATAAGTAAGTTATAGTAAATTTTTCATAGAAGTAGAATAATGGTTTTATTTTGATCAATACTATTAAGTACAGAATATGATATGATAAGATCAAAATTTGTAATAATTTAGCTTATTTATCAGTAAGTAGATTAATAATAATATTATTAATAGAATAAAGTAAGTTAAGGTATTGAAAAAACTTTTGAAAAAGAGTTAGATTGATAAAGTTATAGTTTTGCTTATGTTTTAAAATAAAAGTTAAATTAATTTCTAATTATATGATATATTCTTAATAATATTATTGAGTATAAAAATAGATATTAATGTGTTATTATTTAATAGAGTTATATAATTATATAATGAAAAAATAAAATATTGTAGATATATAGTATTAATTTTAATAGTAATGATCTTTGTATAAACTTTTTAGATATGTTTAATAAGACTTATAAGGTAAGTAAGACTTATATTATTATTAAATATATTATATTTTAAAATAAGATAAATTTTATTATATTTCTATTATTTAAAAATCTGATATAAAGTAAAACAGTAGTTGAATAAAGTTGTAATAATTTTAATATAGTAATATTATATGTTTGAGCATTTTATACTTAATATCTGTAGGTTTACAAATTTTTTTATTAAGAAGTTTAATATAGTTTGAAAAACTTTTTCTTTAATAAAGATATAGTGACTTAGTGAAGTGAATAGGTTGTCAACCTTCAAGTGGCAGGTCTAAAGTTCAAATCCTAGTAATAGTGAAAATTTGCAATTCTTTCTGTATTATAGCTAACTGTCTTCTGTAATTGGTTAGGATAGGATATCTATAACCTGTGTTATACTAGTATAACTAGAAGGTCTAGGCATTCATACAACATTGTACAAGAGAACACAAACCAGTACCGAGTGGTGTGAATTCAAGATAAGTTCTTAGACTGTGTAAATCACAGGAACCAGGTAGGAAGACAGAAGTCTACTTGAAAAACCTGAGTAGAGAGATAATCCAAACCTTCGATAGTCTACTGTAAAGACTAGACTTATGAAATAGAGCTAGAACTTGTAAAACTAGGCAAATATGCCAGTCTTTGAGGAGGAACCAGATGAACCAACCAGGCTGTCAGAATTTCCAGGTTTTGGAAAAAAAGAGTACATGTCAGCAAATATATAAACCAGAAATATAGTTTTGCTCTACCTTTCTAGGCTATCTGAAATGGCAGCTTGATGAAACTTGAATTAAATACCAAAGTAGTAAGAATATGTTATGAAGTCAGTACCAGGGTTGGAGTGAACTCTACAAGGGCATAGCAGTTTAATGGTATGCCCTGACTGCCAGTGTTGGTCTTAGCCATAACGATATCAGGCAGCTATAAGAATAGAATACAGAAGATTTTAGAAGGTTTAGTACAAGATCAAAGGTTTCTCATATGAGTGAACTGCATTTAAGACTTAGTAGTCATGGCATATTTTCACTAGCATCAGCTGAGGTCATTGGTAGACAAAGATAGTGGGTAGATACGAAAACAGGATAGTTAAATAAAGAACCTACAAGTAGGTTCCAAATATGGTAGCTAGTATAGAACCTTCGGGTGGACTACTTAAATTAGACAATGACTAAAATTGTATGAGTAACTAGTTGTACACTCTCTCCATGGTTGCCTTCTGTAGTTGTAATGCAACTATTAGCCAAATATACTATCAATAAAATCCTAGGTCACAAGTACTCACCTTAATATTTTAAAAAAAAAACTTTTTCTTTAATAATAAGATAATTGAAAAAATTATATCAACGAGTATTAATATATAATTAAAGTTAATATTGTATATATTAAAAGTTATCAAACAAATATTAGTCAACTAATTAGTATACTGTTTAGTTAAAAAAATAAAATTGCATATATTGTTTAATAAAATTTAGTTTTGTAATTAATTAATTAGAATATTTAATATTAGTGAAATGAATTTTTTTTTTTTTTTTTTTTTTTGAACTTTGGCGACAATGCCAGTTGGTTTTTATTAGCTTAATTTTTGATAT